TATAATAAAAGCTATATACAGCAAGCCGACAGCTAACATCAAATTAAACGGAGAGAAACTCAAAGCCATCCCACTTAACTCAGGAACACGACAAGGCTGTCCACTCTCCCCATACCTCTTCAATATAGTGCTTGAAGTTCTAGCAATAGCAATAAGACAACATAATGGAATCAAGGGGATTCGAATTGGAAAGGAAGAAGTTAAACTTTCGTTATTTGCAGATGATATGATAGTGTACATAAGCGACCCCAAAAACTCCACCAAAGAACTCCTACAGCTGATAAACAGCTTTAGTAATGTGGCAGGATACAAGATCAACTCCAAAAAATCAGTCGCCCTCTTACACACAAAGGATATGGAAGCAGAGAGGGAAATCAGAGAAGCTGCACCATTCACAATAGCCAAAAACAGCATAAAATATCTTGGGGTACATCTAACCAAGGAAGTGAAAGATCTATTTGACAAGAACTTTAAGGCATTGAAGAAAGAAATTGAAGAGGATACCAAAAAATGGATGGACCTCCCTTGCTCTTGGATTGGGAGGATCAACATAGTAAAAATGGCAATTCTACCAAAAGCTATTTATAGATTCAATGCAATCCCCATCAAGATCCCATCAAAATTCTTCACAGATCTGGAGAGGACAATAATCAACTTTACATGGAAAAACAAAAAACCCAGGATAGCCAAAACAATCCTATACAATAAAGGATCTTCTGGAGGCATTACCATCCCTGACTTCAAACTCTATTACAGAGCTACAGTAATGAAAACAGTGTGGTACTGGCATAAAAACAGAGAAGTCGACCAATGGAATCGTATAGAAGACCCGAATTTTATCCCACAAACCTATGAACACCTGATTTTCGATAAAGGAGCTAAAAGTATAAAATGGAAGAAAGAAAGCATCTTCAACAAATGGTGCTGGCACAACTGGATGTCATCTTGTAGAAGAATGAAAATAGACCCTTATCTATCACCGTGCACAAAACTCAAGTCCAAATGGATTAAAGACCTCAATATCAGCCCGAACACACTGAACCTGATAGAAGAGAAAGTGGGAAGTACCCTACAGGAGCTGGGCACAGGAGATCGCTTCCTATGTATAACCCCAGAAGCACAGACATTAAGGGCAACATTGAACAAATGGGACCTACTTAAACTGAGAAGCTTCTGTAAAGCAAAGGACATAGTCAATAAGACACAAAGGCAACCTACTGATTGGGACAAGATCTTCACCAACCCCACAACAGACAAAGGTCTGATCTCCAAAATATATAGAGAACTCAAGAAACTAGACTTTAAAATGCTAATTAACCCAATTAAAAAATGGGGCACTGAACTGAACAGAGAATTCTCAGCAGAGGAAGTTCAAATGGCCAAAAGACACTTAAAGTCGTGCTCAACTTCCTTAGCAATCAGGGAAATGCAAATCAAAACAACTTTGAGATATCATCTTACACCTGTCAGAATGGCTAAAGTCAAAAACACCAAGGATAACCTTTGCTGGAGAGGCTGTGGAGGAACGGGTACCCTCATCCATTGCTGGTGGGAATGCCATCTTGTGCAACCACTGTGGAAGTCAGTGTTTCGGTTTCTCAGGAAATTCGGGATCAACTTACCCCTGGACCCAGCAATACCACTCCTGGGAATATACCCAAGAGATGCTCTATCATATGACAAAAGCATTTGTTCAACTATGTTCATAGCAGTATTATTTGTAATAGCCAGAACCTGGAAACAACCTAGATGCCCTTCAATGGAAGAATGGATGAAGAAAGTATGGAATATATACACGCTAGAGTACTACGCTGCGGTAAAAAACAATGACTTCTCGAATTTTGCAGGCAAATGGATGGAAATAGAAAACACTATCCTGAGTGAGGTGTCCCAGACCCAAAAAGATGAACATGGGATGTACTCGCTCATAATTGGTTTCTAGCCATAAATTAGGGCCACGGAGTCTACAATAGGTGAACCTAAAGAAGCTAAGTAAGAAGGTGAACCCAAGGAAAAACATATAGTTATCCTCTTGGCTAAGGGAAGTAGACCCAATTGCCGGGGAGAAAATTAGGATTTTGGGGGTGGGGTGGGATGGGGGTAAGGGGAGATGGGGAGAGAAAAGGTAGAAGGGAAGGAGGGGGGACTTGGGGAATCAGGAGAATTGGGATAAAGGAAAGGTGGATAGGGGAGCACGGAACCACAATTCTTAGTTAAGGGAACCACTTTAGGGTGAGCAAGAGATTTGACCCTAGAGGGGCTCCCAAGTGCCCAACATGAGGTTCCCAGTTAGTTCCTTGGGTAGCTGAGGATTGGGAACCTGAAATGACCCTATCCGAGAGCAATACTGACGAATATCTTGCATATCATCATAGAACCTTCATCTGGTGATGGATGGAGACAGAGACAGAGACCCACACTGGAGCACTGGACTGAGCTCCCAAGGTCCCAATGAGGAGCAGAAGGAGGGAGAACATGAGCAAAGAAGTCGGGACCACGAGGCGTGCACCCACCCACTGAGACAGTGGAGCTGATCTACTGGGAGCTCACCAAGGCCAGCTGGACTGTGACTGAAAAAGCATGGGATAAAGCCAGACTCTCTGAACATGGCGAACAATGAGGGCTGATGAGACGCCAAGGACAATGGCACGGGGTTTTGATCCTACTTAATGTGCTGGCTTTGTGGAAGCCTAGCCAGTTTGGATGTTCACCTTCCTAGATATGGACGGAGGGGGGAGGACCTAGGACTTGCCACAGGGCAGGGAACCTAGACTGCTCTGTGGACTGGAGAGGGAGGGGGAGAGGAGTGGGGGGAGGGGTAGAAGGGTGGGAGGAGGGGGAGAAGGGTGGGAGGAGGGGGAGGGAGATGGGAGGCTGGGAGGAGGTGGAAACTTGTTTTTTGTTTATGTTTTTTTTTCTTCTTTTCTTAATAAAAAAATTATAAAAAAAAAAAAATTGAATTTAACTGTATTCTCTGTAGCAAATGTTTCCTTTTCTTTTTATAATGAATATTGCATGTGTTTCCAGAAGTACAGATAAGTTCTCAAACAACCAACATGGTCTATTTAGATTTTGGGCCAAAAGTTAAACTAATTAGCCAGAGACATTTCTTAGCTAAACAAGAAAGGTTTCTTTCATTAGAAGGACTCTGTAAGTTTCTTCTGGGGAAGAAATGAAGTTCACTTAGGGTAATTCTCTTTGGCAGACAGTCAGGGTCTCTAATACATATACTAATAATTGTTAAGGTTAAAGTAAAATAGTTAATTCTATTAAAGTCACATAAAAATTCAGGCTGCTATTAGCATACACAATAGATTAATTATACAGTAGAGATGTAGGATATCACCATTCTGTCCTAACGTCTGCAATGATAGTATTGCTGCTGGCTGTCTTTCAAGATTTATATTATTTTATAACAAATCTACAAAAGATCACTGTCTTCATTTAACTGAAAATATGATGTACATTAAAATGTGAAGACATTTAAAGTACATAATTTTCCATTTTTCCTTAACATAAAATATTTTTAAAACAATTCATAAAAGCATACTCATACTACTTAGAGTTCTTAAATAGTATAATCCTTATTTCATATTTTATTGTTTCATTTTCACACCTACACAGAAAGATGATTTTAAATTCACACCTCTTTATGGGACTTTCTAAAAAAAAAAACTTCCTAAGAACTACTGCTTTGTGCTGTTTTCAGATTTATTTTTATTATATATCAAAAATTCTACAGCTGATCATTATTTCCAAATCATATTTTTTCCATGAAAAATCTTATCAAAACACTACTTTAATATAAAGTCAACCTTCCTACACTGAGGGAGCTCATTAGAACCTTTGAAGTTGATTCTCTTTGCTATTTATACCCCTTAATCTTCCATGTGCCCTGCACTGCATCATTCTGAAGGAGGTCCTTTCACCTGAAGGGGCAGCTGGAAATAGTTAAGCAGAGCATACAAGCGCCTGTACTTAATGTTCCACTTAGACATCTATTTTAAAAATAAATGAATCCCTGGGTCCAAGCTCAGCTGTTATTGTCAGTGTCTTCTAACGCTGCTCAGAGGGAACAAGACAAGAACAACCCATTGAGATAGTGTGGTAATGGATCAGAACAAAGCTCAATGAGTACAGCTCAAAGTTCATACCAGGGAACCAGAGAATATGGTGACCACTTCTCAAGCACTGGAAGACCCAAGTACATTCCAGAGGAAATGGATAAATAAATGTCAAGCTTGCCGCTAAGTCTGGTGGCCTGAATACCCCAGGACCCACATGGCAGAAGGAAAACTGATGGCTTCAAGTTGTCCTTTGACCTTCACACTTCAGTTGTACCACTAATGTGCCCACACCCCAACTCCTACACACAAAAGAAATAAGCAAATATAATAAGAACAGTTTTCAAAAGTCCACAGCCTACCCACATCCCTCCTCCAGTCCCTCATACGTGCTAGGGAACTTCCCAAGGGAGGAAGACCGGGTACTGGTCACATCTTATTACCCTAAATCCAGGATCTACAAAGAGGGGAGTGGAGCTTTGTGAAGAAGGCCTTGGGGTCTTTTTGGTCCTACCAAACAAAATCTTCTATTTCTTTGGAATAAATATAAGTAACTCCAGATCAAGGAATGCCAATATCCTTAAGTCATAGGAGATAGTACCTCACCAAAAGAATACAACTACTAAAACATGTATCTCCAAACACTTTTAAATTGGCCAGAACCGCAGGGGCAAAATAGCTAAGATGGTACTTTGCAGTTGATAACAAAGGCAGAGAGTGGATGATGTGGGATGCAGAATAAAATTCAGATTTAGTTGGTACATGTACAGTCAGGGAGGGGAACAAGTAAGAGTACGATATATTTGAAAACCGTATGTGTGAAGAGTAGAAGCCACTAAAGATTTAAGCATTTCTGGCATATTTTCACAAGCCCTGATAAACTGTGCCAAGCAGTTTCTCACTATGGTACACCATGATAAAGGAGTCACAGGATACCTGGTCCTCGCTGGTTAATCCCAGGTGCATCACAAGGTAGAAATGTACCAGGAAATCTGAGTTTGGCAGAACATCCTGGCGTCTGGTCATCATGGCGCAGATCAGTTTGTAGGCTTGCAGTTTGCCTTCCTTATATTCATTTGGCAGAGTTGTAGCCTGCCAAGGAGATGATGTTTCTAGATTAAATCAAGACCAGATGCAGAGCATTTCAACATTTCATTTACTTCTCAGTTTTCCTGAAGAGTTGTTTGGAGATGTGGGATGTGCTGGCTGTAGTAAGTCCCAGTCTGTCTTCAAAACATGCAGTCTTGGGCAATTACAGTTTTAAAACTCAATTCCAGAAGGGAAGAGGAAATTGCAATAAAAGAATAAACACTTGCCTTGAATAGCCATGATGCAAACATTCTGAGTGGTGGGATCAGGAGCGGAGGAGATGGAGACGACTGGTTATCCAGGCTTATCGCTAGATTGTCTCGTATCTAATTCAAAAGAGAAAACATTCTACTTATTCCAATACATAGCAATATTGTATAACCAAGAAACCAATTCCATTTTTTATAGGTGGAATGAGAAATCTATAGTATTTACATGTTTTTCTTCTTTTTTCTTTTTTTTTCTAAATTCCCAGCTGGCCTGCCCTGCCCACAGTTGCTCCTCTCCCAGCCTTGGCTCAGCAGGACCAGCACCAAGGTTTTTCTTTCATTATGAGATTTCTTGTCCTTTTGGATTGTGTCTGGCTTATTACATGTAGTTAGAGCTTCAGACTCAAAAGAATGGTATTGCTTTTCCTAGCACGTGAACACCTAGGGAGGTCATGAACTCCAAAGGGTAAGATGATTTCATAAATAATGCTATATAAACGTAAACAATATTTTGGAAAAATATTTTATGATGGAAAATGTACATTTAGTATCAAATCAAGAGACAGGATGAAAAATGAATCTAAGAGTTTATTTTATAAAATGTCTTTACTCATGGAAATATATATTTTATATATTAATACTGGTTATTCTATAAAATAAGGCTATAAATATCTTCATGATTTTCTACATTTTCCCAACTTTGCACAATAAAAATACCAACACTTTACTAAAATGAATAACAAATCCATATAGTATTCTATTCTTAATATCTTCTATTCTTATACTTTTGTACTAAATGAAATAACTCTTAGGCATTTAATAAAGTATTAAAATGACAGATATTATGACTTATTCTTGGGCAATCAAATGGACTTCATTTAAACACATAATCTGCATTTTAAAATGCAATCAATAGATTATATGTTAAATGATGCATGTTAATTTTTCTGGATCAGTATAAAAGGTAACAGCAGAACACACCTTGGCCAGCTTGTACCACAGATCATAGAGATAGCCAAAAACCCTGGCATGGATCTTCGGTGACTGGATATTATTCACATCCCCAAGGATTCCCAAGACTCTTCGCCATAACACAGCAGCAGAATCTGGGTGCCAACCAGTGAGGTTCCCTCCAGCAATTATACTACAGTCGTCTGCAAGACATTCTCTGCTGTCTGTGGAGAAAGAATGGAAGAATCTGCCGACATGATCTTAATTTCATTATCATAGTATTTTTTAGCCTTACTGCAAATTACCTGTGCTTATATTTTATGAATTCTCAGTAAAGTAATTAAGATTAAAAAATGGTTGAGAATTTGACATAACAGAAATAGAGATTTAGTCATGAAAGGTCAAATATTTGATTCTTCAAACTGAAAGCCCAACAAGAAAGGATGTATTTGCTTAGGCTGATCCTGGGCAGGATTTTATGAAGAAAGCAAGAAAGAAAAATAACAAGAAATACATTTAAGGCACTCGAGAGTGCTGCATCATAGCAAGAATATTTCTCCTATATGCGCTATAGAATAAATGGTAGCCAGCAACCAAAGCATCGCATGATATTTTCTAACTTCTCCTCTTCCGCATACCCTTTTCTTACAATTCTGCCCTTGTGTTTCCTGGGGAGAGGGGTATTCTCCAAACCTTTTGCAGACCAGAGATTTCATTCCAATTTGCAAACTCCCTCTGGAGACTGCCCAAAGCTCCTTCTCTTATCAAAACCTTAGTCTCCACTGTGCTCCAGCCCCTCCATCCCACTCATGTTTTCTTGAACAGATCACCTATGGTCTCCGTGGTGCTTAAGTAAAGCATTTCATTCTCAGTCCCCAGCAGATCTGATGTGTGCAGTTAGGCCTCCTTCTTGAGATGCTTCATTAGCTGACCCCCAGGTATGACATGCACCTGGTTTCCCTCTTTGACCAGTTCTCCATCTCATGTGCCTTTGGATACCCAAAGACCCACAAGCTGCTTCTCTCTTCCCTCCCATCATCTTTTTCTCACACAGAGTAATGGCCCAGATTCAGGTGCCATTTACATATTCACATCTTTAAATACCTGATTTTTTTTGTCTCTCTTCAGTTCTGCATTTCTCCAATACCATCTGCTCACACAGATCCAACTTTTGACCTCACAAATACTAGGCCAGCACTGTACCCACTGAGTGACACGGCCAGGTGCAGGGTCTTCCTGGCATCTCCACATGCTCAGTGGAAACTTAGTCCATGAAGGCATATACTCATATAGCAATGTTCTCAACACTGGTATTTTGGATGGAGATTAAGGCTTTAAAAATGACTTATTTTGCATGTGCATATTTGTGTATGTGTGGGTGTCTGATGCCAGATGCACGTGTGGAGGTGAGAGGGCAGCCTGCAGGAGTCAGTTCTCCCTGCTATGACTACTGGATATTGAACGAAGGAGTCAGGTTTCACCTGCTGAACCACCTGAAAGCCCCAGATTTTCGTTTCTGGATGTTAGTTTGTTTTGCTAAGACAACATCTTACTGTACAGCCCAGGCTGACCTCGGATTTGCTCTGTACTTCAGGTTGGCCTGGAATTCTCTAGACTCCTCAGTCTCCTGATTCCTGGGATTACAGGGACATACTACCACAACTCGGCTTATGCTGCTTTCTTATTTTTCCTAGAACTCAAACGCCAGGAAATGATTTCCCCAAAAAACTCTCCCTTGCTGAGAAAGTATGCAACCCTTATCTAATCTAATCCCTTTGCTTTCAAGACATCATCTCCGTACTTAGTCATGCACTGGTGATCACAGCCCAGAAACACTGTCATCTACTTTATCTTCTAGAATAAAGTCTGCAGCTTGTCGGCAGTGATAATTAATTCTCTTTCTTCTTCTTATGTTTCTTTCTTTCCTTTTGTCCCCCATCTCACTCTGTCTTACTCTAGGCTGTCCCCACTTTGTAATCCAGGTGAGCCTTGAACTTCCAACCCTCCTCCTGCCGCAGCCTCCCAAGTGCTGGGATTGAAGGCCATTACGCCCAGTTACACGTTCTGAAATGGATGCACCTGTGTTCAGCCCCATCACAGCCTCCTACTTGTGTAGGTACCTAACATGGTTATCCTTCCAACTCTCAGAGAAGCTGCTATGATTTCAGCCAGGCTCCTTCTCAGCTGTTAGGGCCCCTGACATGAGACAATGCCATTTCAACTAGTATGTCCCATCTTCTTTGCTATCTCTAGAAATTAGCTGTTATTATCTCCCCCTGCTATCTGTGCCCTGTGGAGCTATGGCTCATTTAATTGTCCTTTCAGTGTGGCTTAGGAAGGACTTGAGGGAACAAGTGGAGCTATCTATAATTTTTTACGACTATAGTCAACTAGATATAAAAGTTCAATTAGGATTTTTAAATATCCTTTTTATTCATTTCTTTACCTTGTTTTTTGTTTTAAGGTTCTCACTGTGTAATGCTAGCTGTCCTAGAACTTACTGTGTAGACCTGGCAGGCCTCGGATTCACACAGCTCCATCTGCTTCAGCCTCTTGAATGTTGGGATTAAAGGCATGAACCACCACACCCAGCTTTACCTAATCTGTAAAGGGTACTTATTTAATTTTCTTATTTTAAAATTTTCAAGATTTATTTTAGTCATATGAGTATTTTGCCCGCCTGCATGCCCATCACATGCACACCTGGTGCTCCTGAGGTCAGACGAAGACACTGGAACCCCTGGGACTGGAGTCACAAATGGCTGTGAATCACCATGTGGATGCTGGGAATGGTGCCAGGGTCCTCAAGAATAGCATGTGCTCTTTGAGCCATCTCTCTGGCCCCTAATTTCTTGTTCAGTTTTAATACATTTTTATTTAATAATTTGCTCCTCGTGTTATTATTTAAAAGATAGGCATTTTATTTTAAAACTGTTGGAGATTTTTGAAAAAACTGTAAGTAAGGTAAAGATAATCTCCAAATACTCTACACTAGTTACCCTGTTTAGTTACCCTCTTATCAGCTTCTCACATTAGGATATTTATTACAACTAACAAGCCAGTACTAAAACAGTATTAAAGGCCAAACTTTATTTACAAATTTAAAAAAAGGGGTGTGTGTGTGTGTGTTTGTGTGTGTGTGTATGTGCGCGCGCGCGTGCGCGTAGGCACACATATGCCCCGGCCACATATGTACATGGATTTAGAGTACGACTTTGGAAAATTGGCCCTTGCCTTCTACCTTGCATGAGGCAGGGTCTTCTGTTCACTGTTGTGTCTGTCTCCACCTCCCTTCTCCTCACAGGAGCACAGGAATTACAGATACACCCCACCACATCAGACTCATATGCAGATTCTGGGATTTCAAATCAGGCCCTCATACTTGCACAGGAAGCACTTCACCCACTGAGCCACCTCTGCATCCTATAGAGTTCCTTAATTTTTCCTCCTGTTGCAACTATAATGGTCATTAGGAACAATATGTGTATCTCTAAAGTCTTCACTAGATTGTAACCATTTCTTAGGCTTTTCACATGTTGACAACCTTCAGAGTTCTGAGGAGTTCTGGTCAGATACTTCATAGACTGTTCCTCAGTTGGGATCTCACAGGGAGTATTTCTAAGAGTTGGTTTTTAAAGGTCAACTTTATACAGTCTAGAACCACTTGGGAGGTCTCAAAGAGGGCCCGACTAAACTGGATTGGCCTGTGGGCGTATCTGTTGGGATTGTCTTAATTATAGTAATTGGGGTTGGAAGACCCATTCATTGTAGATGGCACCATTTCTGATGTTTGGGTCCTGTACAGTACAAGGGGAAAGTGGCCTGAGCTTGGGCGTTCATGCATTAATGTATTATTGCTCTCTGCTTTTGACTGTGGGTATGTGTAGTGTGATGTTCCTGCTGCCTTCACTTTGCTACTATGAGGGACTGTATCTTGAAACTGTGAACTAAGATAAATTGCTTCCAAAGTTGTTTTTGTCAGGTTATTTTAATCACTGCAACAGGGAGCAGAACTAAGACTTTTTATGGGGGGGGGCACTCAGGGACTTCTCTTTTGATGTATATTTTCTATTGTTTTTATTGCCCTTATTAATGTTTTATTTAGGACTTTTGCGTATATGCTTTTGACTGTGATGGTCTCTAACTTCACTTTTATCATACTGATTTTTGTCTGCATTTATTCTCAAAGTAGCACAAGGTAGGCAGAAAGACAGAAGAGAGCTTTCTTTCTCATTCTACAGAAAAAGTTGGAAAAGAAAGTGTCTTCATTTGCAATTAACTAAAGCTAGAGATTCTCCCTTGCTTTTTTAAGTTTACTCAATTACATCTGCTATTATTTTAAATCATCATATTGTCCATATACTTGTGTTTTCTCACATACTGATTCTTTGGTCAATCTTAACCTGTTCATCTAGCTTTGTTAATGTTTATAATCTTTTGTTTGGTTTTGTTCTGTTTCACTTTCTAGTACACTCACGTAACCTCCCAAGATTTACTACCATTTTAGTTCATGTTCTACAGTTTTACTCTTTCACTTTAATTTTGGAATAGGACACACATGTTCTATTTCACTTACTATACACATAGACAGTAGGGTATATTTTGTCCCCATAAAAGAGTTTGGCTACATTCTAGAGATTGCAATATGTACTGTTTTATTTGAAGTATGGTTTTTTAGTATCTCATTTTCCTCTTTAAATTGGTCTGTTATTCTATTGAAAAGAAATTCTCTCAAAATCACAGAAGGTGCTATGAAACAAAACAGGCATCTCTGTTGAGACAAAGTGGCCAACTTATTAATGTTCAGTGTGATTTCTAAGTGTATCTTAGCTGTTAAATTCAAAGATAAACACATCTGCACAAATACATATATATGTATGTGTTGTAAGAAGCCGCTTGTGTGTTTAACTGGCCGCCCAGCCGCCCAAAATAATCACACAGAAACTATTATTTAAATCACTTCTTGGCCAATCACTTAAATGTATTGCTCGCTAGCTTTTAAATCTAGTATTAACCCATCTCCAGTATTTTATATTTTACCACAAAGCTCATGGCCTACCAGCAAGGTTCCAGCTTATCTGTCTCTGGCAGCGGTTCCATAGCTTCTTTTTGACTCCGCCCTCTTTCTCCCAGCAGTCAGTTTACTTCTCCTCCCAGTTCTGCCCTACCCTACACAGGCCCAAAACAGCTTCTTTATTAACCAATGGTATTCACAGCATACAGA